ATTAAATTCTTTGTTGATTAGTTTTTTATATTATTAATTTGGACAATATTTTACTTTTTATTCTTCTTAAATTTATTATTTAAATGGTACAAATGTTGTGGGATATGGTTTTAAGCATGGAATTTGGTTATGTTAATTTGTAATGATTTTCCGTTGAATAATCATGCTAAATTTCGAAATATTTTTTTTTTCTGTGACCTAGATATTTTCGACAGCCAAATTGGCTGTCGAAAATGTTAGCTTTTTTTGAGAGACATAGTTGACAGCCAGTTAACTGCCGAATATAAAAATAATCGACAGTATATTACTGACGAATATACCTATATTCGACAGTCAGATGGTTGTCGAATATGTTTAGCTTATTTTATCAAACATAATCGACAGCAATTCTACTGTCGATTATACATGTAACCGACAGTCATGCCTGTCGATTATATATCATAACCGACAGATATAATTTCTGTCGATTATATGAATTTCGACTCTCATTTTTTCGATAGAAATTACTGTCGTTTATGTCTGTCGGTTATAATATAATCGACAGAATAATTGTTATTATCGACAGTATTAACTGTCGAATATACTGCGTTTTCTAGTAGTGGCAATACTTTCAAAACTTCCTCCATCTTGGAATGATTATAGGAAAAAGGTTCTGCATTCAGATGAAATTCTGACTATGGAACAGTTTCAAACACATCTCCAGATTGAGGCAAAAAATCGTTCAAGAGATGCAATATTGGCACCCTTGAAAATTAATTATGTGAGTCAAAATTCTGCCAATGCCAAGCCTTTCCAGAATAAACTCAAGCCTCTTAAGAAAAATAGTGCTTTCAAGAAAGCTTCTTTCAAGAAAGCTTCTTTCAAGAAAAGTTAGCCTTGTTACCATTGTGGTAAGAAAGGTCACTTCATTAAAGATTGCAAATTCAAGAATAATGCAAAGAACTTTGGTTCTGGCACTAGTGCAAAAACAAGCAACAAGGCAAATTTGATTGAGCATGAATTGGTTGCTATGGTTTCTGATATGTAAGTCGGGATGGTGACTGAATTGAACATGGCAAATCCAACCAAGTCTATGGATTGGTGGCTGGATTTTGGTGCAACAGTTCATGTGTGCAATAACAAAGCACAATTCAAGTTTTATGAAGATGTGAAGGAACCAAAGGAAGTGCTTATGGGAAACAATGTCACTGCAAAAGTTCTAGGCAAAGGCACAGTGGAATTAAGGTTCACTTCGGGCCACAAATTGACCATGGTTAATGTTTTCCATGTGCCTGATATTAGAAAGAATTTGGTGTCTATAAATCTGTTGTGTAAAAGGGGCTTGAGGGTTGTCTTAGAATCAGACAAGGCCATTATATCAAAAAATGGCAACTTTGTGGTGAAAGGTTATTCTTGTGATGGAATGTTCAAATTGAGTATTAATGAAATAAATAATGTTTCTGGTTATATTGTTGAGTGTTCTTCTACTTTATGGCATGCTAGACTAGGACATGTGAATTATGAATCATTAAAATATATGTCTAAGCATGGATATTTAACTTGTCAAAATGATTTTAAAAATAAATGTGAAATTTGTGTGCAAGGAAAGATGACTAGAAAACCTTTTCCAAAAAGAGAAAGAAATATAGAAATGTTAGAGTTAGTGCATTCTGATATTTGTGAATTAAATGGTCATGTTACTAGAGGAGGTAAAAGATACTTCATAACATTTATTGATGATTGTTCTAGATATACATATGTGTATCTTATGAGAACAAAAGATAAGGCTTTTGACAAGTTTAAAGAGTATAAATATGTTGTGAAAAATTAGAAAGAGAAGAAGATTAAAGCTTTTCGTAGTGATAGGGGTGGTGAGTATTTTTCAGATATGTTTTCACAATTTTGTGAAGATCATGGCATCATACATCAAAGAATAGCCCCCTATTCACCCCAACAGAATGGTTTGGCAGAAAAGAAAAATAGAACTTTGGTTGACATGGTTAATTGCATGTTGATAAATTCGAAGTTGCCATTTAATCTTTGGGGAGAGGCATTTCTTACTGCCAATCATGTTACCAACAGAATTCCATCAAAGAAAACTCATGTTTCTCCATATGAGACTTGGAATAATGGTAAAAAAACCAAATCTAAATTATCTCAAAGTGTGGGGGTGTCTTGCCTTTTATAAGGTTCTAGACCCACAAAGAACAAAACTAGGACCTAGAGGCATTAAAAGTGCATTTGTTGGTTATGCAATTAATTCTAAGGCCTATAGGTTACTAGATTTAGAGTCAAATGTTATAGTAGAATCTATACATGTTGAGTTCTTTGAAGAAAATTTTATTAAAGATTCTTCTACTATGTTTGATTCTGGAAATTCTTTGAATAATTCAATGTATGAAAATCATAATGGTACAAGTACAAGTACACTTCATTAGGAGAAAAGAAAAGAGAATGATGGTTCAATTGAACCAAGAAGAAGTACAAGGATTAGGAGAGAAAAAGTCTCTTGATCCTGACTTTATTTCTTCTCAATCTATTGTCTTCCTAGTTGAAGCAACTAGAGCTAAAATAATTCAAAAAATACCCATGGTATTAAATGTTGAAGAAGATCCAAAAACATTTCAAGAAGCAATGGCTTCAAGGGATGCAGCTTTTTGGAGAGAAGCTGTGAATGATGAGATGGACTCTATCATGTCCAATAATACTTGGATATTAGTGGATCTTCCATATGGTTCTAAACCAATTGGTTGTAAATGGGTATTTAGATGAAAATACAATACAGATGGAACAATACAAACCTTCAAAGCAAGGTTGGTTGCAAAAGGTTTTACGCAAAAGGAAGGAATAGATTATTTTGACACATATGCTCATGTTGCAAGAATAACATTTATAAGAGTTCTCTTTGCATTGGCTTTTATTTATAAGCTGTTTGTGCATCAAATGGATGTTAAAACAACATTCTTGAATGGTGACTTAAGTGAGGAAGTATACATGGAACAACCAGGAGGTTTCATACTTCTTGGAAATGAAAGAAAAGTTTGTAAATTAGTTAAGTCACTATATGGCCTAAAGCAAGCTCCCAAGCAATGGCACCATAAATTTGATACACATATTCTAGCAAATGGATTCAAGTATAATGATGCAGATAAGTGTATCTATTCAAAGTTCACTAAGGATTATGGAGTTATAGTATGTCTTTATGTTGATGACACGTTGATATTTGGTACCAACATGTTGGGAATAAATGAAACCAAAAGTATCTAACTTTAATCTTCAAAATGAAAGATTTAAATGAGGTAGATACTATTTTGGGTATTAAAGTAAAGAGACATGATCATGGCTTTGTGCTTAGTCAATGACATTATATAGAGAAGATGTTGAATAAATTCCAACATCTTAATATAAAGGAAGCCCCTACTCCATATGATCCTAGTATGAAGTTAACCTTAAACCTAGGTCATATTGTTGCTCAATTGGAATATGCAAATGCAATAGGGAGTTTAATGTATGCCATGCATTGTACTAGGCCAGGTATAGCCTTTGTAGTATGCAAATTATCAAGATATACAAGTAAACCAAGCCATGAACATTGGAAAGCCATTAGAAGAATTCTTGGTTATCTTCAAAAGATAAAAGAGCTTGGTTTGATTTACTCAGATTATCTAGTGGTCTTAGAAGGATACACTGATGCAAGTTGGATCACTAGTAAGAGTGATAACAAATCTACTTCGGGTTGGATCTTTATACTTGGAGGAGGTGCAATAAGTTGGGCATCAAAGAAACAAACATACATCTCACATTCTACAATGGAATCTGAGTTTATTGCTTTAGCAGCAGCAGGCAAGGAAGCAGAATGGTTGAGAAATTTATTGCTTGATATAAAGTTGTGGCCATAACCTATGCCAGCCATTTCCTTGCACTGTGATAGTGAGGCTACAATGTCTAGAGCATATAGCAATATTTATAATGGAAAATCTAGACACATTAGTCTTAGACATACTTATATTCGAGAGTTGATCACTAGTGGAGTTATAACAATAATCTATGTAAGGTCTGTAGACAATCTAGCTGATCATCTCACCAAAGCACTACCATGAGATGTGGTGGAAAGGATGTCATTAGGAATGGGGCTTAAATATTTAAATTAGGCATTGGTAATGGGAGACCCAACTTTTATTTAGTCATTTCTAAATTTAAAGTTTAATGGGTAAGAACAAGTTACTATATATGCCTGTTTAGCACTTGAAACCTATTCCTACATTAGTCAAGTACTAACTGTTGCGTTTTGGAGGATGAGTGTAAACTCTTAATGGAGTTAATCATTTCTAAGTGTCTATAGCAACAGGAACATAAAGAACTCCACCTAAATGGTCATAGAAGTGGTGCCGCTTCAACAAGAAGATGTTGGATTCTCTTGTAAATGACCATTATTAGCAGATGAGCACATGGCCATAATAGTGCTAAAAGGTTTTAAACCTCTTGGATTAGGTAGACAAGTCTTATGTGTGTCACACACTTATGTCTAATATAAGTAGTTATGGTTTAATCCTTGGACAACAATAACTTCATTAGATACGTAGTATGTACACTAATGGAAGGTTTAAATTGAGAGATACCTTCTCTAAGCATGTTACTTGTCAAGTAGAACTGAATTAACATTTTCAAACTAGTGGGGGAATGTTGAATAGTTTGTAAATGTTTGAGATCCCACATCAATAAAGTATTGGAATTTAAACGAGTTTATAAATGCTTATTCTTTATCAATAAATAATTAAGTAAAACCCAAGGGAAATTGGGCCTTGACCCTTTAGATATAATCAAAGATGGGTACTTTGGCACTTGGGGCACCTTGGGGCTTGACTGCTAGAACATCTTTAATTTTTTATTATTTTTGGATTTTTTA